TCTAACAAACACATCTCGTAACCAGGGAAGATGATAAATTCTCGTCTACGTTCGATTTCAGCCAAATTTCCGAGAGACATAGGATGTCGGCCTGATGCTTCTCTGAAAGTTCGTTCACCCCATCGATTGATGGGGCAATGGAGCGAAAATTGAGATGCGCAAACTTGAATTGATTCCGAGCGTGTTTTGTGAGATAAGGATTGGGAGCGAGCTGGTATGCCAGCTTTCTGACCTTGTGTCCACTTCATTTCCCGATTGCTTTTCGTTTCCCTCGTGTCGGTCGTATGACAGCTCGCTTTGTGCATTCCAAAGTGTCATTATCTCCAAGCCCCATCTAAATGGCTGTCTCGTTCGATTGTCTTGTCATTCTACAAAAAAATTAGCAACATACTTTTGGCAAAGGAAAAAAATACGGAAACCGTCGGAACTGGCCGTTTCATTGGAAAATTTGAGAACGTTCATAGTTATTCCTTACTAAAGACCGAGACAAAATGATGAATGCGGGCAAGCTCCTTCTTGATTTCATAGTCAGCTCAGGTTTGGTGTTCCTAGTGCTTCCCTTACCTAAAAACCGATTGCAATATTATCGTATTCTTTACTTGGATTGAATAAAAGTTATACCACATTTGCATGCAGACTGTGATTTTAATGAGCCACATGCAAAGAACTGGTAGGCGCTAATGAAATCGAGCAGCCATGGAAATGAAAACGGACATGTCCGACATGAGTACATAATGGAACGAGAAGAGATTTGCCGGAAACCGTGCGCCTGGGCCGCGATGTGTCTACAATCCAATCTAAGGGCCTCGATTGGTCGATAGGGTCTGTGGGGTTCGGGTGAAGACGTCCCAGGAAAAAAAATACCGAAATTGACATAAGGAGACGAAAGTCACTAGATATATTTAGATACACAGAAAAGTAGTTTGAAGTTCAAGCTTGTTTTTAGTATCATATTTAGGTATATATAAAAAAAATAATAATTTATTATATTTTGCGCATATCATTCTAATTCTGTGTGGTTGTAATTTGTATTTTTGGTATCGTGATGCACAACATAGTATTCAGTAAATTATTGTCTTGGTAAGGATGAAGCAGATCGCCTTACATGCAATTCCTGCAAATCAAATAATTATTCGATAGAATTCTGCAGTACGCCTTTTTTGCAGTTATGATGAGGATCCATACTATTTGTATTCGAATTTTATGATGAGAAATATGAACGATTTTAATTAACGTATGCTTTCAAATTTTGAAGGAACGGGATATGGACAATGAAAACAATGCAGGAAACAGGTATAACGAGCCTTTTTCGTTGTTTCGCTGAACAGCCCGGTTGCTGTTTTATGGTGATTTTAAGGTGCTTTCGCCTTGAGTGGCTTTTTCCCGTTTCTGCCAATTCTGGGGAGCTTTTTTTCATAAAGCCTCCGCCCGACTGGTCACTTGAGGCACTCCATTGTGCCTGCAGAGTTCGCTGTACATTAGTATCCATTGTCCTTCCGGAAAGGAGGGAGCTCCTCCCTCTCTCAGCGCATCTGAACTCCATGTCTAGTACCAGATGAGAAGTTGTCTTAATGAGCCCCCAATATGGGGTTCGATTCACATGGATTTCCGTTGTGGTTAGTGTACCCGAACTACAGCGAAAAAACAGCTTCCCTGCAGAGAGTCTCTTTTTCAAGAAAACGAAGAGGATGCAGTGAGGTCACAAGCTTCAGCTTGCCTGGGTGCTTACATGCCTGGGTGTCAGTCCCAGGATTTTATAGGATTCTTTCCCTCCGGACACAAGTCTTATACCGCCGAACCCAAGGTTGTCAGATGAGGCGATTTTTGACAAGGGCGTCACTATTCTGTTGACAGTAAGTCCTTGGCGACAGGCTTCTTGACGAATGCAAAGTTTAATTTAAGTTTAATGCAAAGTTGCAATTCCTTTTTTTGTGGATTCCTATAGATGACCTTTATGATGCAACTAAACGGTATTATTGTACGCAAAGACTTGTGATGATAGGCAATTCTGTTACCAGCACGTCCCCCTTCTGCCTCCTTGAATCACCCATTCTACTCAACGACGTTCGAACTTTCATCAATCTTTCTAATCTCTCAGCATTTTTTGCATGGGATCCATGAGGCCATTTCGTTTCACTGGGAAAATGAAAATAATCGTAAAACATAAAGGATCAACTGCCGTACTGAATATACTCGATCAACTTCTGATTGATTTTCACGCTGTGAATCTATGGTTATAATAATATCATTGGCAACGTCGAACCAAGGATATTTGGCGCCATGTGATGTAATTCCAGCCCCCCCCCTCCCTTCCCTCCGCCTCCATACCTTTAAACGCTTGATTCAAAATTTGTAGTGATTTAGCTGCCAATCGGCGCCCTGTGCGGGCACACCACTCTCAGACCCCTTTGCGCGATTGGTAGACAGCAATAAAAGTTCATAGGCGTACGTTACGCAATTATCAACTTACAGATGGCATTACAAGACCTTTGTCTCGATCCGGCATTTAAAAATCAATCCGGGAATCTCCAAAAGTAGGTCAGAGAGATGGGGCAGGGGATAAAGGAGCCTTCTCAGCAGGAGTTCTCGTTTCATTCATGTATTCATCCAAACAGGAGAGACGAAACCCCTCCCTAACAAAAGGTCGATGGACAAAGACAATTCCTGCGGTAGTGCACCATGCAGGAAACTACCAACCTGATCACGTTGCTACAGGCAGCAGTACAGCTGCATTCTCAATATCAAATGAACAGCCCTCATAAATGTATATCAGGACAGCAGAGAACCTGCATCACCCTTTTCTTATACACCTCTCCTGATATTCATACTTAATAATGCTATCCCCATAAAAAAAGAAATCGTTTCCGAACAGTAAGGTACGTCGGCCAGGCCTTTATCAAAGAGCACTGTATATTTTCTTGGACTTCCGGACTTCCTCCTGGTACGTGACGTGAAGGAGCAAATGTCCTCTTCGGGAAAATAGGCTCCGGTCACCAACTAGGATAGCCCGGGAGGCCTCTTACTGATGAGGTTACAAAGGAGACTATTAAATTGATATGGGCATAGGCGATTTGTTGAGAAATATGGGGGGCTCAGAGACAGTACTCTTGCAAAAATTCATTATTCTCATGTCCTCGCTGTCCTCGTTGAGAGCCACTTCTGTCTTTTTTTTGCAATAGGTATTTGTAATAAGAGTTTCTTCAGGTGTACCATACGATGTCCACTACGAGAAGAGGGTGCTCCTGGAGCATGAATTTTCTTCCAGACTGTTGCCTTGAGATCCAATATCCACAAAAGACAGAAGTGGCTCTCAACGAGGACAGCGAGGACATGAGAATAATGAATTTTTGCAAGAGTACTGTCTCTGAGCCCCCCATGAATCGCCGCCTGTGGATATGGGTTGTACTTTCTTGTTCTTTGAAGTATGACATCAACTTTGGAGGCAGCGTCAACCGGTGTAAACCCTTGCGCTGATTTTGATGGGAGTTGGAGATCCGATTCCCCCTAATAGTTAATTGCCGCACGAAAGAAAGCAATTGTAATTGTTTCCTTCCATTTAATTAATTGAGCAGCAAATTAGAAATGTTATGTATGTAAACTCCCCTTTTTACGGGCATTTCTCAGATATCAATCGAGTTCCATTCATCTCAAAACTTGGCATCGTGGGATGCCACAAAATCATATTTGATGCCATCAGCACAACATACTTGGAATGCAAAGCTCTCTGAGAGATTTGCATTCAAAGCCCAAGTGCCGTTTGGTTCAGAGAAGTAGAGTTTGGGTTTGGCCTGAGCGACAGGCAAGAAAGCTTCAAGAATATCACATCACAATTCAGTGTGACATTCAGCGAAGTTTTACAAAAAAATTACCAATGGCCTTTGTTAAAATGTATATCCATGATCTGTCCAGAAAGCATTACATCTGGCAGCCTTGGGCTTTACTAGGCTTGCTTAGGCAGTCCTGCCTGGGTGAGGAGTGGTGAGCTGCTCGACCTGTTACACCTTATTGTATGATTGAGGCCTTCTTCTTGCTAATTTCATGAATAAATTGGAAATAACGACTGGAGAGGCACCTGAAGATGAAGATCTATCATCTTGCGGCATCAGCAATCCAGTGGTTTCTGCTAAGAACTTTTAGGTGTATTGCAACTTAGTGTTGGTGAACCGACAGTGTGGTAGGCCCCCCGTAGTTGGTGCCGGAACATCTCTACCTATCCATGCTTTTTTCCCCACTCGATTTTCATTATTTTTATAGATACTCTATCATCCGTCTATAGCTCTTCATAGATGTCGAAGACAAGTGAAAAACGCAAGACATTGCTTTCAGACTGAATTCGTAGCCCCCCCATCCTTATTGTGAGGACGGACCAGCAACTTTGTAGTATCCGTCCAGAAAGTCGTTTTTTTAAAAAAACGATTTTGTGACTAAATGCGTGGAAAGAGTAAGTGAACAAGATAAAGTTTAATGTTAATATCCATTTCCATATACCAATCAAGTGATGTAATAAGCCCTTAGAACATTGAAATCATCATGGTGGAAAATGTCAATGAGCACTTGAAGGCCATTGTACAGTTCCTACACAAGGAACAACAAGGACCACAAGCTACTAAATGATTTGTGAACATTATCAGGGAGCAGTCGCTGTCTAGTTTCATATGCAATATTATGTCAAGTCGATACTTGTGTGGACTGTGGACCATCATTCCCTAGGCTATGTGTCTGGGTATTGCCTTAGATATTGACCCTTATGCAAGAACCAATCACTTGATAACCTATTACATTGTAGCTATCATGGTAGGTATCAGGTGATAGAGATTCCTTTTATTTGTAATAAGCCCAACTTAACCTAACCTAACCTGGCCTAACTTTAGGGGCAAGACATTATCCCATGGGGGTATGTGCTTAACCATAACTAAGGTGGACTTCTTTTGAACTGTTGATTCATTTTGGTGTAATATATTTCTAACAGTCCAATTTTTATATTCATGCATCTCATCTATAGCAAAACTGATTTTTTTCTCTAAATCATGCCTGCAGAGAGCTAATTATCTTTATGAGTGTACAATTATCATGTGCCAAGCAGGTTGAGTTGGGGAGATCTTGAAACCCACTCCAACTCTCCCCAAATACCTGATCCACTTCCAGGTTTGCTTTGTCTCTAGAATCATCTGAGTGTTGTGGAAGTTGCTCATTATTCCAGGGCCATGAATCTCATGGAATGGTTTGCATGTTGCTAATCAAAATATGTATTTCTCTCATGTTTAGATTTACATGGGGAGAGAAGAGTCTTCAGGGGGGAGTAAGTGAAAATTTACCAAAATAATAATTATTGTAATCAAGTCAAGACCAAGAATAAGGGTCTTACCATGGGGAAAAAAGATAAGAAGAAAGTGAAAGGAAGAGGAGCTCAAAAAACCAGCTCCAAAACTGAGAAGAAACTTTCACAAAAACAGAAGAGAGAAATGGCTGCAAGGGGAGAGGTAAGTATGGGATAGAGAAAAAAATGATTGGCTAGCAATGATGGGATTTTGCTTGAAAGCTCGAAACTATGCCATCATTCTTTTATCATTTCAGAAGAGCATAATTCCAGTGACAAGTTGATGCTATGCAGCAATTATAATGTTTTGCATGGTTTCATAGTTAATGGAAATAAAATCAAACATATATACTAGAGCCATGGGCCATTTATGAGATAAACTAGACAAGGGAGGAATAGGCCTACTCGTTGATTCAATTCAATATGCCTATGTTGTAGGTCCTCAGTACTTTTAAACAGAACAGTCTTTGAGAAATCATAGAGCCAAAGTATTAACTTATAAGTACTGATTTTGAAGATTTAGTGGATGGACTTCACTGAATACTTTTTATTGATAGCATAGAATGGATGGTTATGAATTGAAGTAATTGTCTCTTTCAGGAAGACATTGAGACAATACTCCAAAAGATCATGGAGGAAGAAAAGAAGAAGACCAAGGTCATTGTAAAGACTGTGGGTCAACCAAGCATTCGTTCAAACTTCTCACTGTGTGCTCATCCAGAAAAAGATATGTTCATCCTATTTGGAGGTGAATTCTTCAATGCTGGCAAGGTAATTTGGATCACTCTTGCCTTGTCATGTCAGGTATTAGGCATCTGAATTTATTTCAAACTAGTGAATTCCATTTGTAATGTTGTGCACTTGTCTCTTGAAGGCCTCTAGCTTACTTGTTCCTTGAACTATAAGGGTAAGTGATCAATTAACTGAAGCATTCCTCTTTTCTGCAGACATATGTCTACAATGACTTGTACTTCTACAACCTCAAGAAGAATGAGTGGGTGCAAATTGAGTCTCCAAATTCTCCTCCTCCTCGTTGTGCTCACCAGGCCTGTACAGTTGCACAAGATGGAGGCCAAATGTGGCTTTTTGGGGGAGAGTTTACATCAGTTTCTGAAACTCAGTTCTACCATTACAAGGACTTGTGGATATTGGATCTCAAGGCAACAGTCTGGAAGAAAATTCATGCTCCAGGAGCACCCTCTTCTCGTAGTGGACATCGTATGGTACACCTGAAGAAACTCCTTGTTGTATTTGGTGGTTTCCATGACAAGTTATCTGATTACAAGTACTTCAATGATGTTCACATCTTCAACTTGGAAACGTACCAGTGGCACAAAGTCGAGCCATCAGGTAATCATGTGCCTAGTGTGTTCTGTGTTCTGTTTTCTATGTAGAGCTCGCATCTCCACAGTTCCAAAAGAGTAGTCTCTAGTGACATAAAGACACCTTTGATGGTTAACTGAATGTAAAACTCTAACCTATTCCATTCATAATATAGTTTCCATCAGCTACACAATGTCCTAAATTATGTTTTTTAAAAAGACATTAAGGAAAAATTCAAAGGAATTATTGCCTAACTGGTGACACAATTTCATTACTCACTAGGTGCAAAGTAGAGTCCCATCATATCTGAATGATATGGTTTTGACTGATAGGGAATTTTTTTCAGGTACTGGGCCAAGTCCAAGATCCGGTCATCAAATGTGTGCCTTGCCTGATGGTCGTATCCTCATCTATGGAGGTTATTCCAAAGTCAAGCTCAAGAAAGATTTGGACTCAGGAGTCACTCACACTGACATGTTCCTCCTCATCCCTGACAGTGAGAGGGCATACATTGTTATTTATTAGCCTTTTTTTCTTAGTAGCCTCTTGCTCCCCCTTCAGAAAAGTTTCCAATTTTCTTGTTCCAGTATCTTCTCCATTGTGTCTAGCGTCTGTAAAATGATCTCACATTTGATTTTATGTTGCATTTCTTCTTCAAATGGATCTTTGGCAAGTTCAGCCTGAGTTGCCTGACCCTATTTTTCTTTGTATCTTACCAAAGTCATTATAAAATTCTTCATTATTAGTCTTTTAAACTGGAGGAAAAGACCATTCCATCCCAAGTCACCCTCTTCAAAACTGCTCCTGGTTTTTTAACCAGTCTTTGTAATAGTAGTTGCTTTGCCTTCCCCCCTCAAAGTTTTATGATGCTTAGTATAGGCAGTAGAATTATTCTGTTTTCTGGGGGTGGGGCTTACTTTGACAAAAGTAGGGTTCCTTGAAAAACTCATATATGGAAAGTTTCAAAGGTAGCATTTTGATTTTGGTCACATTTCAAAAAGGAGACCAAGGAAATTTGAAAATTTGTCTAATAAATGAAATACATAACAATTTGGGGGGGAAATGCAAAAGCAACTTGACTCTTATTACAAATACCTATTGCGAAAAAAATAAGAATCAGAGTTGGTCAATAAGATTGTTTATATTTTTTATTAGGTTGATTGGAATGGAATGTCCCTAAGTGCCTTTAATCATTGCCACTTTACTGTAGACCAGGGTCTTTGTGTGAAATTTTAAACCCTTACACTTGATTTTTGAGGGACAGCAACTTAAAAGATGAAACTTGGTGGAAAGATGGTGCAAATAAATAGTGATTCTCTACAGGAAAGTTTCTAAATAAATTCTGTACACTTCAAAGGTTAATATTGTTCTCAGTGCATTCAATTATGGATTTGATGTCATCAATCAATTTTGACAGAATAAATACACCCTCATGCAGGCTCTGAAGCCATTAGGTTTATATCTGTCTGAATTAACATTGAGGTTTTGTAAATTAGGGCCAGCAGGGAAAAATCAAGAAGAAAGCATGAGTTTCTTTGTATCCTTAACTGGGCATTTAGGGACATGAAGTCTTTCAACATATGTGATCATAAAATTTATATCTTAATAATTGTATGAATTTTTTGATACATTTATGAATTGATCTTTTTTCTATTTTTAAGTTGTTCAATGCAAGAAACATGCAGGATCAGAATTATCATGTCAAAGGCACTAAATAACCTTGACCTTATTGATTGGGCATAAAATTTTGATTAAAGATCATTTTTGATGGCACAAATGAATTCTTAGCTATTCAAAATGTAGAGTGCAATATATAAATGAAGCTTCTGACTTGATCAGTTTTAGATTTACATCATGTTTCACCAAAATCTTCCATTTTTGAAAAAGACAGTGGGAAGGCTATATTTTCTTTTACAATTTTTTTCATCTGGATTTTACTTAGTAGATATCTATTTCATATTAATAGAGCATGATGAAAAGATGCTGAAGTGGAGATGGTGTTCACTGAAGAGTGGTGGGATACCACCCTCACCACGATGTGGTTTCACCATGACTATTGCACCTGGTCCTCAGTCTCATGTTTGGCTCTTTGGTGGTGTCAGTGATGAAGAAAGCCCTGATCATGAAGAACTTAGTAGCTGCTTTCACAATGACCTGTATTCCTTGGATATCAATGCACATACATGGAAACCAAGTGAGCTTTCTTCCTTACACTATCTTCACAGTATAATGCTCTAATACCTTACCATTTCTCATAGAATTAACACTTCTGCAGCATTGATTCTGTGGCATTACAAAAATAGAAAGATTTAATTTTATCTGTTCTTACTATCCCATTTCAACCATAGAAAAACTGAGACTTCATGTAATTGCAGGATTTGTGATGGTAATGAAAACCATTCAGAACATGAATGCAACCAGAAAGATAATGAGGGTAAATTGTGCCTCAAGATTTTTTAAGGGCTCAGGGTTTTATTTTTCTTGCTATCCACCCCATACTGCAAATCAGTTTGATACCAATTTATTGCATGTAGTTCATCTCTGTTCTCTGTGAGTTCACATATCCTCATTGCAAGAAAGGACTCCAGTGATTCATGAAGCTGTAATATTCCATATTCCATGATAACAAGGTCCCAGTTAACACGTTGATCACCATGGCAATCTTTGCCTATTGATTTTCCCATTCAGTGAGGTGTACCAGTACGCCTCATGGTGGGCAACGTGTTAAAGATGACCAAGATTCACAAACTCAGCCTGATAAGTTGATTCATGCAGTTCATTCTAGCTCAATTGTTGCCCAGGTTAATCAGAAATGCAGTAGCCACTGTGCTTCCAATGTGACTCTCAAAAAGTTGTTTATTGGACCCAAACAGTTTAATGTTCCTGGGTTTATGTGACCATGTTGTCCATGTTGTGCTACAACAAGGCTTCTTGATTTACTTGCTGTTGACCAGAGCATATCTTCAGTATTATGCATTGAAGGCCAGCCAGAAGCAAAATCAAGGATTATACAACCAATGCAGTGGACTTTGAAATTTCTAATACTCTGCAGTGAAGAGCTGAAACTTATGGAAGAGGATAGTGAGTGAGGAATGACCTTGGGCTGAAACTGTGAGTCATTAATCACTTATAGATTTGGTGATTATTTTAGCAGAGCTGAACTCCAATCACCACCTGGTGATTTGCAAACTGCATATGCAGGCAAGCTTCAGAGCAAAGCAGAAAGTCACATGCATTGCAGACTCTTTGGAGATCAGACTCTTGCTGTTGCTTATGTTATGGCCAAGGCAAAATGGATGGTATGGAAGGAATTTGCAAGGAATTAGAATCTGACTCCTGCATTGTTACAAACTATCTGAAGCAAGGCTGGGAACCTACCCAATTGATCATCAAAGCCTGAAATTGGGTGGTGTTATATGTTGAGGGGGAATGCTTTAACTGTGGAAGGAACATTTTGATGAGCTCCCAAACCTGCTTGTAGAAAACTGTGACATACCCAACATTGTGTCTTCTAACATGGTTAGTCTCTTGGTGTGGATGAAATCTGGATAGAGGGATTGAAAACAATGGGAGCCAATAGGTACTCATGGCTGCATTGGGTGTCACACCACATAGTTGACCACAAGTCATTTTAGTGGTTCCTCTTTTTAAGAAGGGGACTCAAGGGAATGCACCATTTGCTGCTGATTTGTCTCCCTAAGCATATCTTTAAAGGTCTTTGCCATTGTGCTGGGAAAGAGTTGTTTAGGCTGTCATTTGAGAAATCATCCAAGAGCAAAAGTGGAGCTTTTATTAAGTGCATTGCATACTAGCACCAGAGCTAGCACCATACTAGCACCACTAGCTCATAGCACCAGATTTTTTAAGAAGCATTGAAAGTAAAGAAAATAGGTTTAGATGTGCTTTTTGGTCTGGAAAGAGTGTATGACCATATGCTTTGAAGTAAGTTCTATTGCAGGAATATGAGATTAACAGCTGGCTTCAGCAGGCTGTTCAGTCCTTATGTACAGAGATTGCTGGAATTGTGTTATAGTGTTTGGGAATAGTTTTGACTCATTCTTGGAATGCATTGGGCTCCATCAGGGTTTTGATATCATTCTTTCTTGCTCCTTGTGTACATGGACAGGATCTGTAGGCATAGCCTTGCATCTGAAGGTGGCCAGTATCATTGATGTTGAGGTGAAGATACTTCTCTTTTATGATGTTCAATACACTGTGGCTGACATAAACTCAGTGACCAAAAACCCTGGTTCTCTTCAGAAATTTGGTCTAATGTACCCTACATGTCTGGGGAGGGGGAGAAGAAACATCCTCAAGCTTTGGTATGTGAGTGATGAGCAATGTGGAAACAAGGTCAATAATTGCACATTCAGGACTTCTACAGTTTTGCAGGTTCTCTGGCAGATTATGGTTGCCAGTTCAGGAATTGCCAACTCCCATCCTTACTTACAACTAAGAACTTTCAATAATTAATAAAAAGAATCAGATTGTAGGTACAGGCTACCAAAATTAAGTTCTTATGGAGTTACTGGTATTAGTGTGTCATGAGAGGATGTGGAGCATTGGCATCCATGAAACTTTGGGCCAGGCAGCTATTTCTCTTGATTGGGAGGTATGAAGCCTGATGATTTGGGTATGTCTGCTGCATGTCCCATGAGAAACCTCCTTAGAGAGTTGCTCAGCTCAAATTGACTGGTGGAAGATCAGATGGTTCACCTAGGTACAAGGTGGAATGACAGTACTGCAAAGCTTTGTTATAAGAGGCTTGGCATCCTACCTGCTGAGCTTGAGCCTATTGTCTAAGATTGAAAACATTTAAGAGGACGTTCCTGGGTCTACTTCAACTGCAACACCATAAAGTAGTTATAGGCAGTATAGGAAATGGTTGAATTAATAAGTAATTCATTTTTTAGGAAACAGGAGACATATACAGGAGACAGGAGAGATATATAAAGAAGTGACACATGCAATAAGGCAATAATCAGAATTCCCTTAATTTGGCTTGCATATATATGTTCTGAGAGTCTGATGATTACGACATGCATGGTTGAGAAGTAGGCCAAATTTGTTACATTTGTGTCTTGTAACCTACCTCTGTTGTTGAGATTGAGAGCTTATCCATTCTGCATAGGATTATCTAATTTCTTTTCTGAAAGTATTCCAATTTTTCAGTCAATAGATTATACTCATGTGCTGACAGAATAGCTTGAGTTTTGACTGTGCTTGTGCCTTCTCCTTCAGTCTCTGTCACAAAGGGAAAGGTTGGTAGCAAAAGGAAGAGGAGGAGACGAAAGCAGCCAAAGGATGGTAGTGACACTGGTGAAGACATGGAGGTGGAAGATGGTGGTGATAGTGATGATGGGGAAGAGATGGAGACTGTGCATGAGACGGAGGATGGATTTACGGTCAGCCATTCATAGTTTCTCCATCATTCACTTAGGTGGAGATTTTTATGTGTGGTTTTATCTTTTATAAGTTGGTGTTCTGGTGTAGGTGAGGATAGGTCCCAGCAAGGATAAGGAAGGTTCAGTGGAGGAGGTAGTGGCCAACCTGAATCTTGGTGAGAATGGAGCTTCATCGAGGGATGTCATTAGGCCCTGTCCCCGCATGAATCCAGGGATGTTCATCAAGCATGGCATCTTATATCTGTATGGTGGCTTTTATGAAGATGAGAAGGATAGGCGAATAACACTTGGGGATCTCTATACCCTTGGTGAGTCTGCCAGATGTCAGTCTGCCAACCCACCTGTTGTTCTTTATTCTTGATCTCATTGACTTTGTCTTATTTGCAGACCTCCACAAATTGGATGAATGGCAGATGCTCATTGAACCTAATCGAGACATTGCATGGCTGGGGTCAGATTCTAGTTCAGGGGAAGAAGAGGATGATGGTGATGATGATGATGACGAAGACGATGATGACAAAGATACTGACGATGATGATGATGATAACAGTAGCCAAGAAATAGATGGAGACAATGAAGGGAAAGGAGATGGACAACTCAAATGGAGCCAATCAGCAACCTAACTTCTTTTACGGACCAAGCAGAATTTATCATTCTGGCAACTATCTGTGATGCCATTTAATAAAACCCATATTTTGTCTTCTGCAAATAAAAGGTCTGGTGCAGAAGAGTCCTAAGCTGCCTTACAATTATTTCAAAAAACCCAAAAATATATTTATGATGAAACAAGGTTTATGATCATTTCTGGACAAGTTTTTAACCGGACATCGGAGACAATCGCCTCCGGACCCTCAAGGGACCTCCGGTTTAATGTAGTTTTGTCCCAAGCCTCTGGAAACCTCTGGACGGCCCTGCCCTGCAGGATTTGGCTAGGATTAACCCTGCTGTGGTACCATGGGGTCTCTGTGACCCCACTCCTCTTTGACCCATGTTTTTTTTTAAACTATCACGATTAGTGACCTCGCCTTTCACGTATTTTTTCGTTTGTTTGTTGATATTTGAGTACAAACGTTTGTTGTATAATATTATTTGGAGAAAAACAAAATATTGTAATAAACAGTGTTTTTATTCTGGTAATATAGTACTTTTTTACCATGGGGTCAAATTGACCCCATGGTACTGTCAACGTAACTTTTTTCATGGTACCAGAGCAGGGTTAAGGAAGTCATGTCGCCATGGGCAGTGCCATGGCTCCTTGATATGCATGCCTATTTTTTGGGTCTCATGAGCTCCTTTTGAATTCCTTCCAAGGACACCTCTTTTTACGCTATATCGATGATATCTATGATGTTTCTCTACAAAGTTAACGTCTTAATATTTGCGCTGCCCTTCACCTTTACTCGGCGTCAGTTCAACGTCCGCCCTGCCTTTGCCAAATACGATTAACGAAGCACAGGGGCTGACCTTCGAGAAAGTAGGGGTGGGCCTATATTTGCCGCGCCCTGTCTTCTCACATGGCCAACCTGCGGAAGATCCAGGGGGCGAGGTGGCGATCGCACTCCACATGGCCATGGTTGCATTTATCACCTTCCGTGCTTTTGCTTGGGCTACTGACTAGTGGCTTCTAAATGCTATGGGCGAGTTAAAGTGGCTAAGCTGCTGCACTGTGGCTGGCGCAGGGGGCAATTAAGTGGAGGGGCCCTTCAGTAGGGGCTGGCGTGCTTTGATTCTTGATTTCACTCTAAGATAAGCATTTAGCAGGTAAGCAAACATACAGTTCATGTAAGCCATTGTAAATCATTGTTGCCTAGGTTGTATAGAGTAGACTATCAGTTTTTACTTAAATTGAAGCCACCTCATGAGGAATTTTATAATTTTTTCTTTCTACTTCAAGTTCTTTTTTTCCTGAATGTAATGAAATTTTTACGCTGCCCTCTTTTCTAAATTGCTTCCCAATAGTATAAAGTGGAAGCCTGGGAGGATATCGATTTCTAACATGGTTTTCCCTGGTATCAAGTCAGTATCAGTACTTCCTGTTAAAGAAGACCAGAGCCTTTGATAGAATGTCAATGTGGAAGTTCTTCGCTTCGGCTTGGAAACTGTCACGTCCATACAAAGTAAGCAATTCCTTTATAGGACATGAGGTAGAAGTAAGGACATAAGCCTGCCATAAAAAATTTGCTGTTTCCCCTTGCTGCAAGTACAGGTGGTCAGTTTATAATTGGTTGATTATTGGCTTCTGCATCTCAAGCAGTGCGGTACGTCACTGCTATTCCATAAAGTACTTATTTTGATGCCTTACTGTGGTCAATAAAATTGGCCAATGTAGTTAAACAAAATAAATTCGTATAGATATAATTTCAGAATATAGCAAGACGTTAAACTGTCCAATTTTTGTCTGTATGTGCAAACATGACATTGGAATTTGCTATGCATACAGAGTGGGTCATAAATATTCATGTCAATGAAGCATTTCTATATATGTATGCCCAAGGAAAGCAAAAAAAAAAACGTACTTGCACCTAAAATATGTCAGCATCTCTTTTGTGGCCAATCTCGGGTGTTTCAACAGGATTCCTCTGAGTCACAAAGAATGGTGCACAAAAATTTGTCTAGCAGATCATGTAGCAAAGATTATCAAAAAACATAAATGGATTCCTTACAGTTATGACTGCTATCAATAGATTCCTTTATGCAGAGCCTGCTGGGAATGCAAAAAATGCAACCAGAGTCAAAGGTGCAATGACTGGTGGTGCAAGAGGAGTGGAGCCATGTCCATTCAAGGTAGTTGATTATCTGACTTTAAGCTTGCGGTTTTGCCGTCAAGAAGGGCGCAAAAAAATATTTTGTGAATAGTTACAGCGAGTCTTAGTATCTCGTCGAGATTCAGTTTATTCTAACAGATATGAGTACAGGAAGCACAAAGACTGATTTGGTATGAATGTTTATGGCCTACCCTGTAAAATGTACTGAACCCAATATGATAGAACTGAAATATTCACTATCAACATTAAAGGAACATTTTTTCCTTGATGAAGTGAAATAAGTTTTATAGTTAATTCATCAAAAAAGAGAAAAGTGGGTCCCAAATATTGTAAGTTCATCTATCACCCTAATGTATATAAGTGTAAGTATGTACGTAAGTATATGGGTAATTCCATCGTGACTCATGTTACAATGAAAGGACACGATTTCCAAGTGTAGGTCTTCCGTAAATTAATCCTGCTTTATTTTTAATTGGATTTAGACAATACTTCGCTGTCATTTAGGTAAAAGATGAGGGATATATATAATAGCATATAAACTCTAAAATCTATCCATGGAGTTTTTTTTAACTAGGTAATTTCTTCATGACTCATGTTACTGAGTACTCAAGAAACTAGATGGCCAATTTTTCCCATTCATTTTTTTTATATCGTTCGTCATCATAACAATGACAACGAAAAGAACAGGCATCCAACTTAATTATAAACATGAGACTCCATTAATTTGGCTCAGGAAATGTAGTGGGACATTCCACGTGAAACAGGCAAAGTGGTGTTGACTTTCTTTTTTGATCGCAAGGGAACACTGTTGCTTGAGTTTCTAAAACGTGGAGAGACAATTAACGCGCAGAAATACTGCGAAACATTGGCAAGTTCACGCAAGGCAATAAAGTCCAGGCATCCTGGCCTTTTGACCAAAAAGGTTGCCTTGTTGCATGACAACGCCCGTCCCCATACAGCCCACACTACACAGGACATCTTAAACAAGTGGCAATGGGAGGTATTGGACCACCCTTCATACAGTCCTGGCTTATCCCCTTGCGACTTTCACATCTTTGGACCATTAAAGAAGGAACTGAAAGGTCAACGGTTCTACTCGGACGATGTGAAGAACATGGTCAGAACTTTCTTTCAGCAGCAACCATCATCTTTCTATGAGAATGGTACCAGCTCGCTTGTGAAACGTTGGGATAAGTGCCTTAACAGCAGTGGAGATTTCTTTTAATTAAATTACACATACACATTTTCGTTGTTGTCCTCTTATTTATTAAACGCCCCTTATACAGGGTGTCCCAAATATCTCTGACACATTAATTAATCAAGAATGGATAATGTATTCAACCTGAAATTTTGGGAAAATTTAATAGAAACTTTGGAAATTATGTTCCAACCCCCAGAATTCACATAGCATTGCTTTTTGTTCGGTAAATAAAATTTTTTCCAAATGCCCTCCATTCTGATTGATCCACTCTTTGCATCAAAGCAAAACGTTGTTCATTACTCTCTGCAATGTGTCCCTCTCAATGGTGGTGATAATTGTCCTAATTCTATTATTTAGGTCACCAGCATTCCTTGGATTTGTGTGGTACATATTCCCAGGTAGCACATAACATAGATTCAACGTTGATTTTGGTGTGGATTGAATGTATTACTGTTGAGGGTTTATAACTCCATGTTGAATCAACGTTGATGCAACGCGGCGGCCGTCACCGTTTATGCACCCACATTGACTAAACATTGATTCAATGCTGCGCCATTCACGGTGGAAGTGTCAATATTTAATCAGCCTCGATTCAATGGATTCTTTTGCAGTAAAAAATCCCTTGTGCTTTATGTCTACCGCTAGGAATGTTCTGTGTACTCCAAGAGGGTTCGTTGAATAATTTTGCCAATCGCCCAGAATACATTTCAATCAAGAAAAATGCTCGGTTTAGGGCAGATAAGAAGGTGGCTGGAATGATGCCTGGCCTAAAGTCTATTGAAGCAAACAAGCAAAAATAATGATAATAATAATTTCTCTCGAGCTTCTGATTTGGTGAAGTTGTCTTTATACAAATGTAAAACTACGAACAGGAGGCTCAATAAAAATAATATATTTATTTTTCTAAAGCTAACTAACCCATTGACTTGAAGACATAAATATGTTGTAAATAACTCCTGAAAATTTGCGGAAGATCTGTCAGTTAATTCCTGGATATTCATCTTTATATGAATAAAGGGGAGGTAGGGGAAGGTGGGGCAGAACAGGGTGGTTCAGGAAAATTTACCAAATTTAATACCAAGGAACTGGCCTAGCACGTTGCAGATTGGGATACGATACCATTCATGTCTTACCTACGACTAAGATTCAACTTCATCGTGAAATCGGCGAGGGTTTTTTCCTCCCGACAATTCTAAAAATTGTCAAATACCTGGAGTGCCTTTGGGGCAAAACGGGGTACTTCTCCCAATATTGGTTTGCAACGTTTTTATTCAAAATATATACCTATTTAAGTAGGTCTCAGAACAGAAAAATCAATGAAATATCTACAAATAGCTCACTAATGACTTTCCACATATCTGATTGGAAAGAAAGTTCTCGGAATTTCTTGAATAT